AAAAATGTATTAATATATATATTTATTTGTTTGTTTTTTTACTTCTATTTCCTTTATTATTATAATATGTACATATTAATATGTACTTATATGCAAATTACCAAAAATGTATTAATATATATATTTCTTTCTTTCTTCATTTCTATTCCTTTTCACTAAATTTCATTACAAATACATTTACATGTGCAGACATTAATTGATACAATTTTATTAATTTTTGATAAATGTAAAAATTTTTTACCAATAATACTGGCACGACCGCCTGTATTCATCCTTCTCCTTAACCACTTCAGGTTGTATTTAATGGTAATATTATATACTGTCTGAAAATGAAAAAAATAATTATTTCCAACGTATAACATTAACCGTGTACGTCGCTATAAAATGTTACAATGTCGCCAATAAAACAAGTTATGAAATAAAAAACCAAAAAACTAACAAATGTTACGCTCATTTCAATGACACATATATATGTAAGATATCGGCTGGAAGTCGCGCTGTCTCGCTTGTCTCGCGCCGGGTTGTCCGTGGTCGGCGCTGTCTCGCCTCACGGCGCTCGTGATGCTAGCTACCGTAATTCTATTGGTCGCTTGAGTTATTCTCCCGGAACAATGCTACGATTGGTTGATGCGTGTAACGAGAGCGAAGGAAGGCAGTTCAGTTCGAGTTCGAGTACGGTCGCCGGAGGAAGCACGCGTTTCCCTTGTGCATCTCGCGACAAGATAATAAAGTCTATCTACGGCATAACGGTGTTGATTACTTCCAGAAGTGCTACCCTGGTCCCTTTGTCCGCCCTCTCTAGACCTTTCCCGGAATCCCTGGTAATATCCCTGGCACCGCTGCCACGCTATCTCACGTACCTTCCGCGGTTTCATCGGTCTCTCACAGCTTCAGAAGTGGGATTCAAGGGCACCACTTCGTCCCCTTTCCTAACACGTTATTGCCGTTCGCGCTACCTCCCGGTGTGATACAGTGCCGTAGAATTCGTCTCGTGGCAGTTTCGGTGAAGAGAAAAATCTCGTCACTCGTCAGCCATTGTGCAGCCGCGCGCGCGTTTGTACACGTTCGTTTATGTCGCAACGTTTCGCCGTGTCGCAACGTTTCGTTCGCGTCGTACTCGCATTTTTGCGCCGCGTGTGCTCGCCTGCCTAACGGATTGAAGACCGTTAGCAGTTCGTCATCCTCGTCTTCGTACTCGAACGAGGTTTGGTGGTTGTACGGCATTTGAAGAGTGAGCCGTTTACCACATCGGACTTTACGCGTCCGATTCGCCATTTTATCCGCGCCGCGATCTCCGCCATTTAGTGCCCGCATTCCTCTGCGCGCAATGGTGATCACACGATCGGGTCGTGGTTCGGTCGAAGAGAAGGATCTAGCAGATCTCTCGCTCACACAACTACATGCGGAGCTTACGAAATTCGGTAAGCCGCTGGTTTCGGACCGCGCGACGTGTATTGAAGTGTTGATGTCGTGCTACGAGAACGATCGTCAGACCGGCGGAGAGAAGACTCGTCAGGATGAGGAAGAGGATGACTCTGATTCGGCCAATATTACAATGGTCGGCGCGTCAGACGTTAACCCTAACATCACGCGTGAGTCGACGCCCACCAACTCTCAGGACGCGACAGTTCTCGCCTTAAAATCGCTCGTCGAACGACTTGATCAGCAACAGGCCGCCATTAATCAACTACGGTCTACGATCCCTCAACCGTGCATACCGAGTATGGTTCCGAACTTCGCTTACACATCGCCACCTCCGAACGTTCCACCGGATTTGTATGGGCAAGCCACTTCAGGATTCCACCATGCACCTGGATTCGCAGCGGGGCCCTGGTCGCAACCAATTAGTGCACCAAGTGCCACGATGCACCCGCCATGTTACAACAGACCGTCCACGTCTTACACAAACGCACCAGGCGCTCAAGGTTCGTTGCAGAATCTTACGGTATTGTCTACGATTCCGACAGCCCAAGCAATCACCCTGCTTGCGGCTCAGATACCTGCATTTCAAGGAGTGGAAGAAGATGATATCGATGTATGGATCAAAAAAATAGAATACGTCGCTTATGCTCATGCCGTCAACGACAGCGTTAAACTACTAGCTGCCGTTTCCAAACTCAGTAAACACGCACGAGATTGGTTCGATATGGAGAACT